CTTAATGAATAGAATGATTTTTTCTAATGGTGTTTGTAAGTAGGATCACAAGTCTGCATCCTGTACAGCAATTAACCACTGAGAAGAATGTATGCAGTGTATTATTTGTTGAAACTGTACTTTCAATTTGATTTGAAACTGTCTCATTGCTATATGTTTATCAATAAAACTTTGAAAAGAAAAAAAAGGGGGGTCACCTAAAAAAGTAAATGAGCATTGTTTGTATGAGTATCAGTGAGTTCAGAAAAATCAAACTGGCCACAGATCTTTCCACAGCAACGCACAATGCCAGAAGGGTTAATGTGACATCCATGAAATGAAAAGGCAGAGAAAACATGCCCTAAAGTTATCTTTCAAATGAATTCATAGAATTTAACACTTATAAGCTATTTTTGAAAAAGTTTATTAATAAAATCCAGCTAACCAAAGGTGGAACAAAACATACCTCACACATTGATGAGCATTTAATCCATTTAAATATAGAACTATAAACAAAATTATGGGGTTGGAATAGAACATAAATTTTAAAGTTGACATAAAAATAACATGGGACAAAGGGACAAAAAGTTAAGAAAGCTAATTCTATAGTTGGCATAGCAACAGATACTCAATATATATAAAATGTAGGCAGGTGGTTAAAGACTGTTCCAGTTTCCTGCTGTTTTTCTTTTTCAATTCTACAGAAAACTTGAAAAAGTTTTGTGGTAGAAAAGCTACTAGACATTTTAGTACTACTTCAGTTTTTTTTTCTAAAATTGAATAAACTTAAATTCAAATATTAACTACTGCCTCTAGTATGAGATTCTTATCAAATTACTTGTCTGCATATTCATTTTTACATCTGTACATATACACAAAGAATGGAAAGATGGTCACCATCAATGTTAATAATGATCAGCTTTAGCTGGATGGTAGGTATTTTTATTTCTTCATGGTATGTTGTCCTATTTAGTTTGATTTCCTTATAAGAAGCAAGTATCATTTTTATAAAATAAATTATTAAATCTTATAAAGTTTTAAAGATATAAGGGAATTTTGTATGTTAAAAGAATAATTCTTAAACTCTTACTAAATTTGTGAAATTGAACAATGGTAGCAAGAAATAAAGTTGAAGTCAGAGCACTATTATTGGATCATTCTTACCTAAGTGAAAGTCTACTTTTAAAATAATTACTAATGAAGAAAAACAAACTTTTAAAACTTTCTGCCAACAATCAATCCATATAGTATTAAAACACAGTATGTTTATTTAAATTGTTACTTTTCATAATTCATTGAATTTTATCACAGGTTAATGTCTTCATTCTACTACCTTACTGGGTGTATTAAGTGTTAACAACAAATTTCATTAAAAAATTAAATGAAAATTAAAAGTATAGCTAAGAATAGTCTTCGTCCATGTGAGAGGATTTACCATTGTGCACGACAGTCCTTACTGTAACTAATTTTTTCTATTTCATGAAAATAACATGAAAAATAACATAAAAAACATTTCTCTCAAGTGGCTCAGCCTTATTTTCATCATAGCAAATACAAAGCCTGTTCCTTAAGCTCTTGCACTGCACCTTGCCACCCTATTACCGGTTTGAGTTGATCCAGTGGTACCTGTCCACACGGTGCCCAGGGACAGGCCTGCAGCCCTTGTGGTTCCTAGGTGCAGCCTGATAAGCGGTTCGGCTCGCTAGGGCTCCCGCACAGCCATCTGCCACATTCTTTCTGCGGGGGACGTGGAACCAAGATGGGCAGGCCTGTTTCAGGTTTTCAGCCTGGAGGAAATGGAAATGAAAGTAGACAATCATCTTTGAAAATTTTACCAGAATTGAATATACCTTAAACTTAAATAAGCTTCTTTTATACATTTTAGAAAAACATTCTTTTTTTTTTTCCCTCAGAACCAGGTATTGAACTCAGGCCCTTGCGCTTGCCAGGGAAGCGCTTATTCCACTGAGCCATCTCCCCAGCCCCTTAGAAAAACATTCTTTAATCCAACTAAAATTTTTTTAAACATACATTCAAATTTGCGTGTATTCTGGGATTCTCCCCCACCTCATCCCAACGTGTCCCCTGCCACTCCATCCAAAACTGCCCAATCATGATCCCTAGGCCAAGAAGACCCAGAAAAGCCTTGGATAACATTCCAAGTGGTTGACACAGATGTTTCACAGATCTCATTTTGAGGAGATTCTGCCATAAATGAATTTTGTTGACTAAAGCCCTGACCCCTAGAGAGAAGAAAGCTAGGTCTAAAAATAAAGGCAAATGTTTTACTACATAGACTTAAATTATTACGCAAATAAAACTACATAGAAACTAATATATACACACACACATATATACATATAGTTTAAAAAACTAATACAACATGGATTAAAATAGTCTGACCTACGAATACATTGGGACTTTAAAGAGCAGGTGACTAAGAAGGAATCTGTAAGGCAGTAAGCACCCAAAATATTTCAGTAAATGGATACTTTTTGTCAAAGTATCTATTTCTTAAATGAGAATAGTCAGTCTTATGAAAAACGGTAAAACAGATACTTTACATGGAGCTAGTGAGATTACGAAAATATTTGGTCATATATCAAAAACCAGCTAAATGTCCTTAGCCAACAACCCAATAATTTCACGTCTGTGTATCAAACCTCAAGAAATAACTTGTAAGTCGGCGGCATTTTTAAATAAAATAACTGTGGAAACAACTAAAATATCAATTATAGTAAATTATAAGGGAATCAACTGAACATTAAAATGCTAAATTTTTAATTGCTTTAGCATTTTAACATATAAATGCTTAAGAAAATATACAAACAAACATACAAAGTATCAAATTCTAGATCAATGATTTTCAAACTGTGGGTTACGAAATCAATTTAAGTGTAGTTGGAAGAGTAGGGGACATGCTCCTATGAAACTCACTTCTTACATAAATGTGTATCTTTCAGTGGGTTGTGATTTTAAAAAAAAAAGTCTCAAGAAAAACTGCTTTTTAGTGGCAAGATCATAGTCTTTTGCTCTTTCCTGAGTGTTCCAAACTTTCTATAAATGGCATGTTATTTTTGATTGGCATAAAAAACTCTAATCGGATAGAATTTCAGTGGGAGGAAACCTGCATTTTCAAACACTGCAGGAAGAAACAGAACAACAAAATCACAGACCCTAAGAACTCAGCCAAGCAGAGGTAATGTATAAGGACTGGGCCACAAAAAAATTTTTGACAATATACTAACATTGTAGGGTTTTTATCTTTATATTCATTCGTTCATTCACTCACTCATTCCATGTTTTGTTTATACCAGGCACACTTTTTTTAGATTTAAAATAGAAAAATAAAAAATAGAAGAACAGGAGCACACTGACCTGATAGACACTCTTGGGATTGTTGACTTTAGGAATGACCTTGGAGTCCACGCTGCCACTTTCTTCATCAGAGGACGTGCCAGAGGAGTAGTCTAAGGAGGCTCTGTTAGCCGCATAACTGATCTGTTGAGTTAATTCCCATTCTTCCCATCTTCCTTTAAAAGAAGCAACTATAAATGGATGTTTTTTTTCACCATACCTAAATAGGAAAAGAAATTATTAAAAGAGATTCAACTTTCCACAAATTCTAACTCTAAACCTCTCTGGAGACAACATGCTAATTTTTAAAAGTCACTTTCAAATGGATAGATCTACAGAGTGAAGGACACTATGACCTTTGGATACTATACTATTATAATTAGGAAGGATATCCTGTAAAGATATCTTGATTAATTGCTCAAGAAAATGACAAAGACCAGTTTCTTTCAGTTCAACTAAGGACTAAATTGCCCCCATTGCAGGTAACTCTTCTTTCCTGATGTTGCCTGTAACACTGAGAAGTTACAAGTCTACGGCTTGCAACAGAGCACAGTGATCAAAGTCACACTGCAAGTATGCTGCAAAATCTTGGCACTTCCCACCTCATCTCCTCATTAAAATAAAGGTTTGCGAGCCCGGGAGATAGCTCAGTGGCATGAGCACCTTCCTGGCAAGCACAAGATCCTGAGTTTGATCCCCAGTACGAGCAAAAGAAAGAAAGAAAGAAAGAAAAGAAAAGTTTGCATTTAAAATCTCAACCAAGATTTTAAAATTGATTTAAAATCAATCCCCCGTAGTGCATGTTGTGCTGGCCCTGCCCCTGGGCACACTGAGCCAGCATCGAATCTGGGCATGGCTGCACATTCCTGTAATCCCAGCACTGGGGAGACTGAAAACAGGAGATCACTAAGCTGCGTAGTGAGACCTTGTACCAAATACATAAAAAATAATAAAATAATATAATCAAGCAGTATGTCCTCACTACTTTGGGAACACCATCTTTCACAAAGGTATAGAGACCTGACTAAAATAAACTTGCCTTCAGGGTTCACAGAGCACACAAACTATGAGAATACCCACCTACAGCACACTTGAAAGGGATCCACCCATATGGTCATCTCTTTTGGAAGTCCCAGATGAAAATAATTCACTTTACTCTCAGCACAAGCCCTTTTCAAAATAGGGTCACTATTCTGATTGTTTATTCGGATGCACCTTGAGAAGGGACAGGAAAGCGAAGGGAAATGACATGATGACAGGTATTTTGGCAAGAAAAAAAATCCTATTGTTGGTGCACTACTTGGTACACACAGCTCCCACCTTACTCTCACCTTCCCCTGCCCCGGCCTCCACTCTTACAAACAGGAGTCATGTATCAAGTTTTGACACGGTGGCTCAATGTTTAGCATTAAATCACATGATTAGTTTACCAGCTCTCACTGTATCCTGCATGGCAAACACAAGTCAGAAACCGTGTAGTCTACCTCATATACTGGCATTCACTCCATAATTTTCATCTCACTGTCAACTACATCTTTCTTTCAAGCTCATGTTCAAACAAATGAATTTGAGTCCATAAAACTTTCACGATTTGTAGACAGACAAGGAAGCATCTCATTACCCAGCAGGTGGCCACAGTTCCCAGGTGCCTTCCCCTCTCCAGGCCACTCACTAGCACTTACCTGAAGGCTTGCCCTTTAGAGGGGCAGATGGGGTGCCAGTGGCCTCGGTATGTTTCAAACAAGATTTTCATCAGCTTTTCTGCGAAGTCTTCTATTTGTCCTTTATTCAGTTTTTCATGTTTTTTCACCAGCCTTGTGACAAAGAAAACTGTTGCTGCAATTTCATCTCTCATGATTCAAGAACAATCTATGAGGATTTCTAAAACCACAAGGGGAAACGATAAGATATCATGCAGGAATAACAGCTTGACTATCAGTACGTAATTGCCAATTGGAAATTTTAGATCCCCAAGGTATTAAAACTAATTTTCTAGAAAGAAATCCTTGGTGAACTAAATAAGCACATTAACATTCATCAAACAGCAACACAACTAAGACCAACTTAACTTTCTAGTTTTATCATTGTTTAAAGAAAAAAATCTTTAAAACTGTACACCATTTAACAATTGAAATATTGTGGAAAATATATGGTTAAAATATCAAGTTAATAAAAGTTAATATAATATTTCATAATATGAAATATTAAGCTTAAAAAGATTCTAATACAAGGCAGTAAATTACACTAAGCATCACTTTCTTTAAAAATTTACAAATGGTAAAACTTTCCAAGAGAGAGCAGTTTGAAAAGTGGCTTATAAGGCTAAAATGTGGCTCTAAGGCTAAGATGAGTCAAGCAAATATTATACTTGCCAGAAAAATCTTTCTAGTCCCAACAAAAAAAATGGACCAGCGTTAGAAGACTATGGCGAATGATTACAACTCTTACTCATGCTTGCCCTGTGAGCGTTGGGCTGCAGTTTTTATAAGCTCGAACCCTAAAGGTCTGATCGGTTGCTCACCTTCCACAGGTGCTCTGCATTAGGATACTCACATTGATTTTTCCTGGATTCCATTGGAGTGCACCTTAGCATATGCAGAGTAGCTCATTTACAGTGCTTAAAGATTTTAATGCTAGATTTATATTTTCTATTTTGCTATTAAAATCTAATTTTTTATGACAAAGAACAAGAACAAACCCTTCTCCCTCTAATGCTAATACCCTAATTTCAGCTCTAATTCTGTCAACATATGAAAGAAGTTTGTTGTGTATTCTTTATAAAACTTAAGAGAACTATCTTTGAGTGGTCATTATGTCAACTGCACACATTTTTACTAAAATGTTTATAGAACAAACGGAAGAGATTTTAGCCTCACTAGTTCTCTAAGGATGATTCAGGTATTGCATGATTTGGGATTTCTAGGTTTCTTATTCTAAAATGCAATTTCTTGGATCTTATCCCAGATCTGCCAGGAAAATTCTAGTAAGCAAGACCTCATAGTCAGCCTTTAACAAGTTCCACAGATGATTATTATGCTGCATCTACTGAAAAGTGTAAGAATCACTACACCTGATATACATAAATCTTTAACACCTATGTTAGCGGTCACTCTTATTTCCTCTTAAGTAATTCACTCTCACAAAGAAACCCACTTTATTTCTTAAATGCTCCAAATATAACACTAATCAATCCTTCCTACCTACATGGAGCCAAATTTACTTCTTTGATTTTTCTGCATACATAGCCTGGTTTTTACTTCTGGATCTATGGATTACATCTATTCCTCTACCATAAAATGTTTCAAATACAGCTACTCAGCTTCCCAAGTCTTCTCTCTTTAGATATAAAGTATTCTCCTTCCTGTAGACATATGACATCTGGAAGAGCTTCAGGCATATCTTTAAAAGTCCAAGACCAGACTTGAATACAATTCTCCAAGAGTGCTCCACCAATAAAGACTAGCAGAGACCTCTGTCATTTTCCTTGCTCTGAATACTGTACGCAGGGCCTTACCTTCCATCCTTCCACTAACTCACACAACTCACAAGTGCTCTTTTTCACTAACTGATGTTTTGTCACATCATTCCCTTCCTGCTCACAACTTTTAAGAATGTGGGCTTTGTAGTCCAATGGACTGAGGTGTAAGGTGCAACCTTACAGCTGGACAACTTGCTAAACTACTCTCTGAAACGTTCCATGCTGCAGCTTACAATGAGAGGTACAACAGCGACCTCATAGGGTTACTATCAAGATTACAACAGATAAAATACCTGGTTTTTATTTGTACAGCAAGGCAATACAACAGAGTAGTTAAAATTCAACTATAAAACCTATCTTATGGGAAGAAAGCCTAGTCCTCTAGCTTACTAGAAACTTAGGGGAGTTTTTCAACCTCTCTAATCTTTAAGAACTACATGTGAGAAAGGATATGATATATGCTTGTGAAGGGCTTGGAGCTAGACTACTCACTTGGACCCTAGCTTAATCTACTGTGTGACCTTAGCAAGTTATTTGACTTTCTGTCCCTCATTTTCCTCATGTATATAACTACTATAACAACAGTACCAACATTGTAGGCTTATTGTGGGAATTAAGTGTAAAGTACCCAGAACAGAACCTGGTACTCAGTAAGTGCTCTATAAATGTTAGTGAGGTATTATTACTCTGCCAGTACCACAAACTACTGACTTGTGAAGTTCCTGTCAAGATTAAATTATAAAATTATATACAGCACTTAGTACAGTTGTGACATATAGCAGGTGCTCAAAAAATGGGCTTTGTCATTCACGAACTTAAAGCATTTTATATTTGTTCTATTACTATGTCATTTCTAATGCAGTGGGATTGAAATGCAGTATAAAACAACTACAACTCGTGGGAGGCCGAAGAGGAAGATGAAGGCCTGACTGGCCTCTTCTGTGAGTACGAGAGAGAAAGGCAAGAGGGCATGCCGGCACGCTGCAGGGAACACTGATACAGCTGAGACCCTGTGGTTTCTGTGATCTGTACCACGGGTGGTGGGAGGCAGAAGAATCCTGTTCTACTCTGATTGCCCGTGCCTGTGTCTGAGTGAAAGCCAAGGTGCGCCAGTCTCTTGGGGATTTGTGGAAGAGCAATAAGAGTCCTTTGTCCCCACACATTTTAACCTATTTTATGTCACTTTGCGTTTCATCTTCATTGCCCCCTGATCAGGTATGAGCTCATAGCCTGGCTCCTGACACATACTGGAGCTCTACCTATCATATTTCATTATGTGAAATATATTTTGTTTTCTTTTTGAAGTGTGGGGATTGAAACTAAGGACTTATGCATTCTAGGGAAACACTCTACCCCGAGCTCCACTCTCACCCCACTGTGTTTTATTTAGAACATTGCTACAGTAAGTCAAGATTGTGATCCTTACCTCATCATTCAATAAATTATCTTTTTGGTGTCCTGTCATCTGTATATTTGGTAAGATTAGCTATACCTGTGCCCTCCAATAAGTAATGAAAAACAAGTTGAATAAAGATCAAACCAAGTCTTTTGAGAAAAGTCTAGGCAATTCTTTTCTTTCCACTTTGAATAATAATTCTATCATACAGTGGAAAGCTACTCAATAGTGAAGACTTCACCAGTTACCTTGCCAAATCTGTATGCAGTACAGTATTCCTTTAATATGCCCTTTCATGTAAGAAGGCAATTTAAATTGACATGCCTTGTTCTTTAGGAGCTGCTGCTATTTCAAGTAATCCCAACTTCCATGGTATTCAGAAACTGGTAGAATGTTTAAGAAGTTTCCCTCATTTGAGACCAACATTATTGGTTTGCAATCTAAGGCTCTATTTTCATTTTAAAATAAACATGATGCTATGTAATTGTCTCCAGTATTTCATTTTATGTTAGTAGGTCATCATTAATAAAGTAATGAAGTTTCACCATTCACATAACTTGAGCAAGAGGTAGACTAAAAAAGAAAATGTGACAACATTCATAATTGAGTGCAGTAGAACACATTAATATCTGTTATGTGGATTTACTAAGGCTTATGTAGGACCATAACTTGATCTTAAAAAGTTGCTGAAAAAAAAAGTTGCTTAAGAATAATGAATTAGTGAGACTGGATATGGTGGCACATGCCTGTAATCCTAGCACTTGGGCAGCTGAAAGCAGGAGGACCACTATGAATCCAATCTATGTAGTGAGACCCTGTAGACCTGTAGTAAAAAATACATTTTAAAATGTAAAAAAAAGAATAAATTTGTAAAAAGAATGCATAATTCTGAACTATCAACAGGTCAAAATTTATATAGAGAGTAATGCATGAATCTGGTATTTATAATCGTTATTAATCTAATATTTATAACTAAGCTTCAAATCCTAATTTAGAAATTAAAAGTACTTTGGTTTCATAAAATTATCATTCAAAATTCTAGTACTAACCTAGTAAAACTACCATTACACCTAAAAATGATATTCAATGATTTCATAGATTTAAAGCTTAATGGTCACATTTATGTCTAAACCCCATAATTTGTGTTTCTTAACTATAATCTGTTTTCATAAAATAAAGTCAAGAGGCCAGGGAGATGGCTCAGTAGAATAAGCGCTTGCCTGGCAAGCACAAGGGTCTGAGTTCAATCCCCTATTCTGCAAAATAAATAAATAAATAATCCAATAATAAAATAAAGTCAAGAAACCTAATTTATATCTCCACTTTTTCTATGATCATGGGCAAATTAGTAAATCTGTACCTTTGATGTATCTAATTCTCTGTCTCAATTTAGCTGTCCTGACTTCAGGAAAAATAAAGGTACAATAAGAGGTGTAACAGGAAATATAAAACATAAAATATGTATAAAATAAATTTTACTTAGAAGGTTAAAATGAATAGAAAGCCAAAATATTAATCATTAGAATGTACAGGGGGGACAATCTGCTTGGGCTCCCCCTCCTGTCCCTCTCTTGGACAGGAACTTTCTTTCCCCCCAATAAATCTATTCTGCTCATAAAAAAAAGAGTGCACTGTTTCAGCCTACTAAGAAGATGAAAAGTATACCTAGTGGCAGCCATACATACAAAAGATGAAATATTTCAAGTAGCTAAAAAAATTCAAATATATTCTGAAGACAGAGATGCAAGAATTTATTATTCTAAAGTCATTCAATAACCTAATTGCCTATAGTAATATTGGTATTGCTATTTTGAAACAATCATGTGACTATATAATAGAAAAACAATATAGTAGGGTAACGCAAATATGTAGTTATATGAACTAGGGCTTTCAATGTAAGGAAATAGGATAAAAGGGCAAAACCAAGAAATTAACTTAAAATCTTGTAGCTAGACTTGATGTAGAAATATTAATATAAATTTGTGACTTTTTAAAAAGATGTATTTTTCTGTCCACTGAAATGATCAAGATTCAATGAGGACACCTATTACTCATTTTGTGGTCTCTAAATACTGTTCCCTTCTTTTAAAAAATCTACTTGGAGAAATGACAGTTGTAATTCAGGTAATGTATTACATGAGCCTGGAATGTCTTATTCCAGAAAGCAAGGAAATTGTTTTAAAAATATTACTGGGTGATATCAAAAGACACAAGAGCCAATATGAAGTGCTTTCCTCAGCTAAAATAAATCAATTTAAACATTACAATAGTGGTAATAGAATATACTATAGCACCTGGCAGGCTATAATGGTGTGATTGTCAAGAACCTTCAGCAGAATAGGCTGAGGGGGAATACAGATTTGAGTGTCTGCCCTGCCCACTGTGTTATCATTCATGTTTGGAAAGTATGAAAAATGGTAAATATAAGGACTATCAGGATGTATGGCTGAGTATTTTGGATAAAAGAATGACAATTTAAGATTTATTTAAGGTTAGTTCATTCCAATTTGGTAAGTACTTAAATGTCTACTATCTGCCTAGAATATATGAAATTGAGTGACAGTGAGACCTCAATGCTTTTATACCTCCACAGTATCTTATTTATTTCAGTTTTCTGGGATGTTTCTTATTCTCTCATGCCCAAATTACATTTCAGAATCACCTGAAGTACTGTTAGAAATACTGATTCCTGCCTCCTGCTTCCTGACATCTGATTGAATTGGTATGGAGCACCACCTGGGCATCAAGATTTTGTTAAAGCTATAGGTCTTGCTTTATCTTGGTCTTAGCCATCCAGCAGAAAAGTATAAAAACAAGGTATAAAAAGTAAAGCCATATTAATATGCTGAGCTGTAAAAGGCTCAAGTCAACAACTGACACTGCCAGTCCTATGGATAACCCACTACTATTATGGACTACTGGACTATACTGGAATATTTTGCTGAATTCACGCACCTACAGTACTTAAATTGAAATAGAATACCTATCTCTGACAAAAAAGGGGATACAAGTGAAAGACCATTTTGTATCTGTATATACAAAAATAGGATAATATATAGCTATTGTCTCTTAATTCAATGAGAAGAAAGATTCATTCTAATAGTGTTTGTGGACAGGATATCATGTCTGCATCTTGTACTATGAATAACCACTAAGAAGACAACAATATACAATGCATTAATTATTGAAACTGTCCTACTAATCAGTTTTGAAATTGTCTCATTGCTACGTGTTTCTCAATAAAATTAATTTTTAAAAAAGATTTTTTAAAGCACAACTGATTCTAAGATACAGCAAAGGTAGAAAACTCACAGAATAGATTTATCTTGCATATAAAATAGCTCTTATTTTATCTATTTAACTACCTAATAATGCCTTACACTTACCAGATTATGACAAATTTGAATTTTTCTCTCTTTTCTAGCCATTTTTCAGATAACTTTTGCAGTTTTTTTCAATTTCTCTTAGTGACAAATGTTCCTCAGGGCAACTCCTGGATTACTGCTGAAATATTATCTGGTTCTGAAGTAAAGGCAACATACACATTAGCAAACACACAAAATTTGCCACTAGAAATGGCTAGTGTGACTCTACATTTTTAAAATGGTGCCAGGTATCTAATAATTTTTTGTTATTTTGCTTTCCTCCCTGATGACTCACTGATCCATTACACTTTGAGTTGACAAAGCACATTATCTGATGAGGTTCAAAATCCTCTCTTAGCATTATTTTTTTGCAACAGGCCCAAGCAGGCCTTGGAAGTTATGAATAGAACTCTAGAATAACAATGTACTTAGATTTCAGGAAAGAACAATCAGACAGAAACTAAACATTACATTAAAAAACTTCCTTCAGTTACTTGTTTACTATACCTCAAACACTTGATTTAAGTCACCTCCTTTGCATTAATAACAATTACCCTTCCTGGTATAAGTAGCATTCGCTTAGGGGCTCCTTACTGACCATGTACTGCATGTTAGATACTGCTATTGAATATTCAACAAATTTCAACTTTTCTTTTCAATAGGCTGATAATCTTGAGAAGGAAATTATACACACACACACACACACACACACACGCACACTTGACTGTGAGTGAAGGGTTTGAGAAATAAAATAGAAAAAGATTACTCCAAGTTTCAAGCATTAGTAACCAAGAGAAAAATGTTATCATTGAAATGATTAAGGCATTCGGTAAAAGAACCAGTATAAAGCAAATGAAGAAGAGCTCAGATTGAAGCATATTGAGTTCTATGGCAATCAGGCACCCAGGAATAATGACCATTGAAAAGACAGCAGACTTTAGCAGAAGGCCAGACTCAGGAGGCTGAGATAGGAGTATCATTGCAAGTTTGATGCCAGCCTGGACTACATAGTGCATTCAAGGTCAACCTGGACTACACAGTGAAACTGTACCAAAGAGAGAGAGAGAGAGAGAGAGAGAGAGAGAGAGAGAGAGAGAGAGAGAGAGAAGATCCATACTGGTACAGCCTAATCCAACCTTATATTTAAGTAGAAAGTAAAATGCTAAAAATTGAAGGACATAAATCACTTCTCCCATTGTTCTTGTAGAATGTTTAAAATTCCCATTATAAGACATTTATTCCCTTGTGTAAGACACTGTCTTCTAAGGTTTTCTTCTTGGAAAGATCAGATGAGTTAGTTATCCATGCTACAACAGGATGGTGCTCTGTCTGCAGAGGCTGGGTAAGGATATTAATCCAGGCTGAGGCACCAGAGAAGCGGGAAGAATGAGGCTCTGGCCATTTGCACTGAGGATGAACAATAGGAAGTGAAGCTTCAGAGATATATTTGACCTTATTTTGCCATTAGCAGGGAATCAAATGGAATAAAACATGAAAATTACTTGTCACCTTGTGCACACAATAGTTTCCAAAACTGCACTTCTTCACTTTCAAATGGGGAAGTTCAACTTGATCACTAAGAGATAGTTGAACCATAAATTTTATCAATTAAAAAAATTGTGTCTATATTCTACAGTTGTCTTCTTTCTGGAAATCACTTGCCATTTTTAGAAACTGGACCAACACTACCTAAGCTACTGTGTGCCTACCCTTGGGGTTGACAATCCTACTGGGCAACAGTTGCGGTACTGTCTGTGTGCACTAAATAAAACCCTGCTGTTTCCATTTCTCCGTCACTGTGAGTATCTCCGGAGTGTTATCACCAGAACACTTACCGCCTTTCTAACCTTATTTCCCTAATGAATAAGGTTAGGGAATGATAAGGAGAGACTCACGGCTCTCCCAATTGGCCACATATATTATCATCTCCATGAATTTGTGTTTCTCCTGCCTGCTACCAAAACATTTTTCTTCATCTGTGTCTTACTTTCCCTTTTCTATCTGGAATCAGCTCAGTCCCCTGTCCCACATAGTCTTGTCTCTCCCTTAAACTTTGGAAATATTCCTTTTTACTTCAATGCTAGCTATAATGACACACTAGTATTGAGGGTTCCTGAACAACCTATTGTCTAATTATTTTGATCTGTAGTATATTTCTATGTGATACAAATATATAACAAATATTTCATTTATACATTGATATATTATGTTAATATTAATTTATATATGAATACTATGTTGTATTAATATGATTAACTTAAGTTGACAGTCTTTTGTGTGTGTGTGTGTGTGTGTGTGTGTGTGTATTTAGTACAAAGGTCTACAGGGTCTCACTACATAGATCTGACTCATAGTGATCCTTCTATTTTCAGCCTCCCAAGCACTGGGAGTACAGCAGCACACCACCACACCCAATCTCAGTCACCATCTCAGCGCACCCTGGGTGCGGGGCCAGCACGGCAGGCCGGGGATCGAACCCTGGCCACTGAGCTCTGCCTAAGCAGGCGCTTTAGTCTGCTGAGCTATCTGGCTGGCTCTAAATTGACAATCTTAATCCTTTATGTGTACAAACTGTCTGTCTGTCCAACTAGATCATAACCCCTGGAGGCTGTGTTCTCTAAAGATAGAAGATAGCCAAGATGTTGGCTTCTATGCTGAAGCTGTAAGAGCTCCAGCAACTATAATTCTGAAGATTAATTTTGTTATTCTTTCTGATTTACCTAAAAAAATAAGATAACATTTTAATATTGAAAGCGACAATATTGATTAATTGATAAATATAAGCAAGAAGCTAATTAAGAATATACTGCACTCATCCTAATGAGAGTACAATGAAAGAGAACCAGAAGTACTGAATTATAAAAACTGCTGGCACTACATTTTGGTTCAAATGAAAACTCCTCTCTTGCCTAACCAGATTCATCGATTTTGTTTTTCAAAGGCACAAAATTAACTTCAATTCAGTGCTGCACCAATGTATAAACTAGTTCCTAAGTACTGTACTATCATGAATGTTAATAAATTAATCTGACAGTTGATGAACTACAGGAAAACCTAAATGTTGCTTTCTGCTTTTCAAGAGAAAATACTCATTTAAAACATAGCTTCTTTGAAGCTGCTAAAATCCAAATCAGCAGTTTCTAACCAGTCTCATTTTTCACTTCTTCCCTCAGATACCCTTCAAAAGCCACAGAAGACAGGCATGTTCAGATGGCGCATCTGTCTGAGGTGAAGGGAAGGAGTGCATTGTTTCCACCATGTGTCATTCTCAACTCCCATCAATTTTATCTGTTAGCTAGGAAGGATAAATTAAGCCAACATAAATTTTCCAAAGCTAAAGTAGAATGGACATATGTGTCTGTGGCACTCTTCGGTTTCCTCCTGGTCACCAACCTCACCTCAACTTCTTAGCACTCCCTCCCCATCTCCCTGATCACCAAAAGCCCAGAAATTAAAAGGGTAAACAATTCCCTTGAAAGGTCCCTTCCTGCGTGTCTAAAACAAATGCAATCTTCTGTTTGGGCATTTTTAACACCAGGAGCATTCTTACTTAGATTAAATCATGGGTCTCCCTGATCTCCAGGCATGCCTAGACATGAATCATAAAGGCGATGAGATTGTTGGAGTTTCTCTAGTAACTGCAGGCCAAATCAACAGCAACCCTAAGAACAAGCATTCTTTTTTTACTTAATTGTTTTTTTTTCAAACAGAACTAGGCGACACATTTTTTGTCGTTTTTCAGTTGGACTACATACAAAATGAACTGCATTTTTAAAAATTTCAAGGGATCATGCATCTTGATGACTTTTATACATACATACTTTTAAATAACTTGGAAGAAAATTTTAAAAATCTAACTTTCAAGGCAGCTAGCACAACTATTACTTTGGATGGCAGCAATCCATCTCAGGTAAGATTATTTCAGATGTAACTAATAATCAAAAAAATCTATTACAAGCATTCACTATTTTATTGACTAAAAATGACTAATAATTTGAAAGAACACAACTGTTTCTATATGTTCACAGAATTTATACATCTGCATTTTGTTTATGGATAGACTATTTCACTCATTTTATTTATATATGTATATTTGAATGAGTATAATTTATGTAATGTATTCTACAAGATTGTTACTCTCCAAAATATATAAGGTGAATGAATAGAAAATAGTTATTCACAAGTGATCTAACCTTTACAATTTAATTTTACAATTAACACTTTTTACCTCAACTTGATTTCTTACTCTTCATTTTGAACAATCTATGCCTTTGGCAAAAAATATGCTCTCTTTCATAATCAAAAATAATACTGTCAACCTACTCAAACTCATCGTCTTGTATTAGTAGTTTGAGTTTGAAAATAGATTGGTCTGGGTGGCCTCGTCCCTGTTCATGTTACTAGCAGCATCTTTGAAATTATTTGCTGGTTTTAGGGAATCAACCAATTGTAAATTTGCCTTTGTGGAAAATAATTTAGAACTAAGCCTTCAGGGTCAACAATGAATGCTCTACACTGATGATGACTATATTCTTGGAGAGGGAGCTACTTTCAACTGAGTTCCAAAAAATATGTAATTAGAAAATATTTATCTCCTCCTGACTCTTCCATTATTGCCAGCAATCATCTGTAACTGTCCCTTTTACCCAATCTACTCCAAATACAAACACAACCACATTATCAGATGTAAAACTGTCAGAACAGAAAAATCTGTCACAAGCCATTGTTTCTCAGACCTTCAAGGACCTCACCCTGAGTATCTGAACTTACTTTTGCTTCAAGGACGTACTCAGATCTCATCTTTATGAATCTTCTCTGGCATCCCTCCTTCTAGTTCTCCCACCAAAGCCCACCCAGTTTGGTGATTTTGATATATTGTCTTGAATGATAAATTTGCTCCATAGCACTGTCCTAGACTATAAAGAGTGGAATAGACGTCTGTAAGTGCTGAACATACACTAAATATGTGCTGGAGGTAGGAACAGCTTTGCCTAAGGCTGACCTCGAGAGTACCAAGCTCTGGCTTTAATCTCTAAAGGAGCACACTTTGCTCTAACTGACCAAGTGGCTCACTGTCCAACGGGAAGATCCAGCCCTAACCTCATCAGGCAGGCAGGCGTATAAGAGTAGCCAGAAGACCAAAGACTGAGGAACACAGTCAGAGGCCACTGAGGCCCACTGCTACTTGGAAGCTCCTGGGAAGCTCATTCTGAGCAGAAGATGAAAACTGCGGTGAAGGTTGGTGTGACAATTGGGGGGGGGGAGGGCACTTGCCGGGGCTTCTTGAGGATTGCCAGAGGAGGAAGGAGCTCTTGACCCTCCTGCTATACCCAGGAGGGAACCGAGTCTAGAATCTGCGCCTCCACCGCCAGGCCTCTCCGCCAGGCCCCCTGGGGCGCCACCGCCCCTCCCCCGCCGCCCCTCCCGCGCCATCCCTCCCCTCGCGCCGCCCCGCCCCCTCGGCTGCAGGGTTCCAGGGCGGTTGGCCGGGCACAGCCGGGTCACTCGGCCCCTGGGAGCTGCACCGGGTTGTGAGGGTGACTCGAGGGTTTGGGCAGGGAACTAAAGAGAAGTTTTCTGAGGCGGGCCATACCTGGCGTGAGAGAAGAGCGAGGGGAAAGGGAAGCAGAGGCGAGGGCGGGGAGGTGCGGGATGCGGGAAGGGGAGCCGGCGCCCGGGGTCACCTGGGGTTGCGGGCGCCGCCTGGGGGTGCGGGGCCCTGGGGCAGCGCCGCCCCTCAGCTGTTTGTTCCGCCACGGCCAGTGGGGGCGGCCGGGCGGGGATGACCCGGAGCACGGAGGCGTCCTCGGGAGACGTCGTCCCTGCCCCTCGCCCCAAGCGCTCCTTGGCGTCGCCGGCGGCTGGTGTCCGTCCTCGCCCGCAGCTCGGGGACTGCGCCTGGACTCCGCGGACGCCGGGAGCTGCGGCAGGCGCCGGTGCTCGGTTTGTAGGCAGTGTAATTAGCTGATTGTGCCGCAGTGCTGACAATCACTAACTCCACTGCCATCAAAACAAGGCACAGCGTCGTCTCCGCCCTGCGGGGTCCGCGAGGAGAAGCGGCGCCGGGAGCCGTGGGCGTCAGCGGCGTCCGGAGCACGTTGTTGGAGCCAGCGAGCGAGCGAGCACCCAGAAACGCCGCCTGCCGGCCCAGAGGCGAGTCCTGTGCAAGGAAAGCCCTCTTGTGACGACAGTTACTGCTGGGTGCTCTGGCTCATCGTGCTTATTTCTCCCTAGTTAGTAAGGGAGTCACCAAGACTGCGGTAGCCCACGATTTACCCATCACTACGTACGCAGGGACCAGCTTGGGGCTGCAGTTGTTGGGTTTTTGTTTTTTGTTTTTTTTTTTTTTTTTGCTTCTGTTTGTTTAGTCTAGTTACTAGGCAGTGTAGTTAGCTGATTGCTAATAGTACCAATCACTAACCACACGGCCAGGTAAAAAGATTGAGATTCGTCCAAACGGGCTGCTTATATAATGCCAACGTGGGGGAGCGGGCTATTGGAATACGCTGATACTACCCTTTCCTATTTACCACTTGCTCAGCCAAGAGAAAAAAAAACAGCATTTAGCTGCTTAAATATACTATACGTGTATGTGTATTTCTTTTTCAGTATTCTTTCAGGGTCTTAACCAAATAATTTTTAGACATTTTAGAGCAGATAATAAGTTTTTCCTTAGCTGACTGATCTGTAATAAAGGCTTTTGGTTGTAAATCTTTGAACTATCTTTTTGTAAAACTATAGTTAATGATATTTTGAAAAAATAAAGTGCCATGTAGACATAAATTGTGGCTATTACCACGTGTCCAGTTCCTTTCAATTGGCTTCCTGATGGTCATCTTAGTTCCTGCCACAGTAATCACATTTTTTTTAAATCTCTGAAATGGTTAAATTATTCTTATATTTTTTAAGAAAATCTCAGAGAGGTCCTCACACTTGCTAGTGCTGATATAAAATACACTAACAAAATTCATGAAGGAATTCCATGGATTCGTTAGATACATCCTTCTAGTAGGTACTCATTTAAAACCTTAGAACTACAGGCAACTTTTGGTAGAAATGATTAATAAATGCAGCTACAATTTACATGCAGCTTGTTCTAAGATTCATCATAAAAAAGAGAACACACTATATACATGAGTACCTCTAGGACCAGTTCTAGCCCCTAGCTCCCTCTGAGCTTACAGGGCCCAGATTGTCCTTAATAGTGAGTGCTGAGCCACAGACCTGCCTGGGAGGAGAAACTGGGGCAATGGAGCCAAGGAATTTCAAGGCGACTCAAATGTCTTTTGGTGGCTGTGGGAGCAAGTGGCAGGCTGAAGCTATGTAAGGGGCTAAAGTGCTCCTCCCTCCCCCCCACTCTGACAGGACTCGCCAAAAGTTGATTGGACTCGCCCCCCCCCCATCCACTTCGAGGCTGACTCCTAGACAGAGCGACCACACCTGCTACCACCACAGAAGTGGGCTTCCATGTGCTGGAACCCCTACAGCTACAGAAGAAACTAAAGGCCTCTGGCTGTGACTGTTACCGCTTTTTGGAGCAGGGGAGAGGGTCCAGAAGGAGGGGTGAAGGAGCTAGAAGAAGCGTCCTGAGTTGCCATGGAAGCGAGGCCCAGCTCAGCTCGCAGCTCAAGAACAGAGTACCGCGAGGTTTGCACTCCAGGATTACTGGTGTTTGCTGGCAGCTCGGAACAAGATAGCAACCTGGCTAAGCAGTTCTGGCTCAGGATGGCCATGTCTCCCACTAACGAGTCCCAGTTGACACTGACGAGGGGGAGTACTCAGCGTTTGCCTGTTGCAGGCTCTAAGAGCACTGTCTTAGGTAAGTAAAAAGTAGTGCTTCCTGGTGGTTAATTTCTCCTGCTTCATAACCGGGAACACAGCTGATCTCCTTCCAGAAAAAAAACTGCCCAGGCTAAATCTAAAATAAGACTCAAATGGCTGAAACTACACACTAATAGTAATAGCTGTATGCAAAAACATATACTGTATAAATAGTTTCTGAATCTTTCCAGCAGTCCTTCACCCTGCCCCAACCCCAAAAAAGATTGGAGATGTTACTGTTACATCTAAAACTACACGTTAAGTGTCCCTTAAATTATGACATTTATTTGTGAAATAGAATAATTCAAGGAAGATGGTACATGTCGGATATTAAGGACAGTAGTTTATATAATTGAGTTAAAACTCTAGAGAAAGTTGAAGGCAAATTAACTTTAGAAACCAAGTTTACTGACTGCTAACCCCTTAACAAGACCTAGGATATAAAAACTATTATAGGCATAGAAAATGCAAAAAGCATTAATGTTATGTCTTTTCTTTATTTCTCCTTTGTACTTTTAAGAGAAAAATCACTCCCAGCCTTCTCCTCCCAAGAATAACAGTAAGTACCAAGTTAAATGAGTTTCAACATCTGGATTCCTAGGTTTTTCAGAAAATAGGAATACATACAAAGGTACAGCTTTACATTTTGGCATAATATTCTGAATTGCATACTTAAGACCTTGCCTTAAGGACCACACCAGGTTATCCGTACAACAGTCCTTAAATTTCTCTAACAGGTTGAACACAAATGTAGAAATTAGAATCTCTGGCTCTATATTTATGCTCTCTATAAAGACATTTTCTTGTTTCTGTTGAGGTTTTTTCATTAAAGAAATTAGAGGGTCTGTGTAGCTACTGCTAATTAATTCAGCTTCCAATTACTTATGAATCTGGTTATAAGATGTCATGGCATACTATGTGTTTACCTCCCTACATTTTTACTGTTGCCCAATTTTATATCAATACTATTACAGAATCATGATAAAATTATTTTAGACTGAGTTTGACTTTATTTCCTCTAGCAACTACTGATGTCACTTCTGAAACCCTAAAGATTCAGGAAGCTGAGGAGAAAGCAAAATATCTCCAAAAGGTGGGCCAATATTTCAGGACATGTGGTTTTCATTAAATTTCTAAATAATCATAATTAATGAAAAATTATTGATTTATTTATGGATGCTAAGGATACTCTTTAACTTACATATATAAAAATAGGCTACTTTTGGCTCATTAACTTAGAAAACTTTTTTAGTATAATTTGAATGGAAAATTTTTAAAGTCCATTTAAGTTTGGCTAACTCTAGTCTCTGCAAAATTCCAAGAATGTATAAGAACAATAGAATCAGAGTCACACTTTTCCATGACACCCCAACTATACTGTCCTAAGAATAAAATTATTACAAGAACAGCAAAAGCCAAATAGAATTGATTGGCCAAAACTGAAGAAGTGGAATGGTCTGTCAGATAGGCCTGTTTTGACTCAAGTAGCTCCATTAATGTCATCAAGTCCACTGAGCAATGGCCCATTTTGGCAACATCCCTTGTCCACTTCCCATGATACAGGCACAACCTTTATCTCAGCAATTAAAACAGTGATTTATAACACCATTTCTTTTGGTTCATGGATTAACTTCTATTTCTGTAATTGTTCCTACTACACAAGCAAAGATAGAGGATTTGTTTTGGCCTAACGTCTTTAATCATTGGATACACTGGCAAACTCTGAAGGATAAATTGGAAAGTCTACATAAATTACAGAGCAATCCATTTTAGTTTGCTGGCCATAATCATTCGCTTTGTGGATTGCTGGTAATTCCTTCAAATGAATTGGGTGATTAAAAAATAGTATTTTCTTCTCTATTTAGGATATTAAGTACTGAATTTTATAGAAGGGCATTTTCTTTTTTCTTTTCTAGTACTGCTACTGGCACTGGAACTAGTACTTTTTCTTCTCTGGTACTGGAGAATGAACCCAGAGGTCCTCTAGCACTGCTCTATCATAGAGGTGTGCTATCCCCACACTTTTTAATTTTTTATTTTAAGATAGGATCTTAGATTTCTAGGCTGACTTTGTACTTATGATCCTCTTACCTCAGCCTCCCAAGTGGTTGAGACCACAAATGTGTACCACCAATCCCAGCTATATTAAAACTACATAAGAAATTTTCAAAACCTAATTTTCAATGAATTCAAAATCAGTAAGAATCCATTTCCTTGGTGCTTTAAGAATTTAATTTATGGGGGTGGGGAGATAGGTTGGCAGTCTAAACACCTGCCTGGCAAGCACAAGGAGCCAGGTTTGATCCCTGGTACCACACGCTGTGCCAGCCCAGCACTGAGCCAGCCATCAAAACTGGGCATGCCTGTAATCCCAGCACTAGAGAGGCTGACACAGGAGGACCACCATGAGTCTGATCTGTGTAGCAAGACCCTGTACCAAGTAAATAAATAATTTTTTAAAAAATTTAATTTTTATTGTATTTCATAATAGGATAGGATTAGAAATAAAGGGTTAAATTAATTATTTTATCAGCTTTTGTCCAGCCATATGACAATGATGTGTTGAAAGCTGTTTATTGTTCATCCAGGAGCATACTGCAACTTCTCTTGCCTGTTGAATTATGCTTTTTTGTTTCCTATATGCTACGTCTGGAGGTATTAAAATATTTCAAGTTTGTATAACTAGAAAATCTTACTTTTAGTTTTCAAAGGTATGTTTGCTAAGTATAAAATTCAAAGAGGGCAGATCTTTTTTTTCTTTCAGTCCTTTAATTA